CGGATTTCTAGTTACAGTCAGTATCAATTTAATTTTTTCCTCTGTGTTTCTTAATATTTTTTGTTTGTGGTATATGTACTATATTTCATTTCTAGTGTAAGAGGCTGGGTCTAAGACTGGGCCATGGGAGCAGCTATCCCTGGAACCATTAGAAGGTATTAATTATCAGAGCCATCCTCCCAAAACTGCTGACAGTATCCAGAAATAAATGTGTCTTGGTCTGCCTTGGTAAATACTATGGTAGCACTACATTGTATGGAAAAGCTCCAATTCCTCCATTCATTCATTTGCATTTATTGTTAAAGTATACTAAAGCATAGAGAGAGAGGAAGGAATGTGAGAGAAAGACAATGAAAAAATAAATCATCTTCAAATTCCACTAAAATAAAAATCCTACATGTCTTTACTAATTTTTTACCAGTTTAATAAAGGAATACCACAGAGGCACTTAACATTCGTAAAAATACTAATGCATTGGATAAAAAATTATACTCTCCTACCCTTTCAAGAAAGTGAATTGATACTGGTGAATGGCTCTTGATCTAGGCAGTTGGAGTTAGTCTCCTTGGATCAAAACTAATTCCCTCCTCCTCCTCCCCAGGTGCTGGGAGACTTTAAAATGTTTAGGGGTCATGGTCCCTGAAACATATGATACATTACTCAACAACATGGGAATTAGTGTGGCACACATTGGACTGTATGCCATTCAAGTATTGGAAGGGTTTCTGATGCAGTGGAAGAAGCATGCTGGATAGGGGGTATAGAGCCTCACAGATCTTACTTAAATGAAGAAATCAGTGGTCAGCCATCCACTGAAATAGCTTTTGGTATGCTGCTATGTCCAGCTATGGCTAAGAAGTATTTATCTATGTTATTATGTATATAATGATTTATATACAAAAATTTTTTTATAACTGGTAATAAAATGTGATTTCTTTCTGGAATCCACTATCCAAGATGTGAAATGATGACCTCAAACTCTCAATCGAAGGTCAAATGTATAATTTGATGTTATTTTTATTGTCCCAATCGTACTGATTCAGAATAAGTACGCTTCTATAGGACTTCAACCAATGGGAGGAAAGTTATAGCACTTTGAAATAAGTGATGTCAACGAGTAACCTCAAGATGCCCTTGATAATTTTTGGTTTATGAGTCTACTTTGTTTTTTGCAAAAACCACCCCCTAAATCAAGTTTCAGCAATACTGAAGAGTTAATAACTGCCCCATATAGAACTCGTAGGGTTTCCAGCACTGACAGTTATGTTTTGTGATCTTTATTTCTCTCATGAGTATTTTAATTGTGTTCATATGACAGTCATCATCATTCACTATTTTCAGTGCCAGGTGTGCCACCCCGAACCAGCTGTTGGGCAAGGGGGCGTGTGAGGAATGTGGCTTATGAGGGTAGAATCATGAAACATTATTTCTCTTATTTTACAAACCTCTTGGTACTTGTTTGTATTTAGACTGCTACGCATTCTCACCCTTTGACAGAGGTGCTTTGATGCTGGTGAAGTGCTCTTGATCCAAGGAATTGTAGCTACCCTCCCCACCCCTTCCATTTTCCAGGCAGTACTCTATGACCTTTGTGAGTTTAGCACTTCTCTATGACTATAATAATACATAGTCTCAGCCTTCACCATCTTAGAGATTTATTCCTCTTTTTCTCTGGACTAAATGCAGAATTGTTTTTGTTTTGTTGCTACAGGTACAGACTTTCAAATCTGGAACCCTCAGATCTAGAAATCTTTCAGAATGGAGATTTCAGATAAATATTGTACTGTAGTTGTTTTATAAAAGTAAATTTGAAAGCAATCCACAGATCAGAACTGGTTAAGTATTGTCGATAAGTTTAATTTTGCTCTAGATTGCTGTTTACTTGAAGGCATGTTGAAGATAGATGTTTATTTTTAAGTCATTGCAAATGTTTTGCAAAGAATTTACATTGTTGTGTCCTACATAAAACAGTCTGGCAGTAGAAAATGTGAATAACACAAAGGAAGGTTATGTTACCACAGTGGTTATTTTGAATAAGAGAGGACATGGAATATGCATACTTTTGTAATACATCAGCCATTTCCCACCAAGATAGGGTGACAACCCCACAACCCACCCCCACCCTAAAAAAAAACACACTCACCATCTTTTATTCAATCACTGTCTTGCTAGAAGTGTTCTGACATCACAGCTCAGATGCTCTAAAATGCAACCTTCCCACTCCTTCAGAGTGCACATTGTACTTCTAACCTCCAGGTTTCAAGTCTGGCTAACTGTTTTCACCTGAATCTCTATTAATGTTACCTTGCTCACACCCCAACAGCATGCAAATCATAAAAACCACTTGCCTCCACTCCTATATAAAATGCTCACACAAGCCTGTTGGATGGCCAAGCCTGTGGCACTCAAAACCTCTCTTACCCCCTCCCTCCTACCTCCTCCAGGGACAACTCAACCCCTTCTTCCCTCTACCCGATTTATTTATGTCAATAGTCATCTAATTTCTAAGCTGTCGTATCTGAGCACCTCTGCAAAGACAGTGTTTGTGCATGAGTGACGGTGAAAGTGTTGAATGATGATGAAAGTTTTTTTCTTCCTTTTTGGGTTTTTCTTTCTTTTTGGGTTTTTCTTTCTTTTTGGGTCACCCTGCCTCGGTGGGAAATGGCCAGCATGTTTAAAAACAAAAAAAAAAAGGTCATTGTGTTTTTCACCATTTTCTTTATACTATATCCAAACCACCTCAACAACCCCTCCTCTGCCCTTTGCATAACATTATTGGCAACCCCACACCACCTAATCTCCAAGATGCAAATTCTCTGCATAATATTCACACAGCACATTGCCCTCAGACATGCTATCTCCACTGTCACCGACATCCTCCTTGCTTTACACTCATGTAACAATGTTGGCTTAACAAATATCATTCTTTGTCTCTACAGATGTCTCGGTGCACTGCCCACCTTCCACTATCAATTCTATTGTCCACCTCATCTTTCGTAGAACCATCTACTGACAGATCCACTTCCAAATATCTTAACACATTTACTTCATCCATACTCCCTCCAAACTGATATCCAGGCTTTCATTCCCTAAATTTCTTGTTATTCTTATTACCTTGCTCATCCTATGTTCACTTTTAATTTCATTCTTTTACATACCCTCCCAGATTTGTGTTCCAGCCTTTGCAGCAACTTCTGAGAATCTCCCTAGAGAACCATGTCATCGGCAAAAATAACTAATAAACCCCCACTTTGTATTAGGTTTGTTTTTAACACACTGACTATCTTCCACTGAGGTAGGGTAACCTAAAAAAGAACACTTTCACCATCACTCACTGCAATCACCAGTTTGAATGTATTAGGTATATCATCTTAAATCTCGCATCTTTCCCCAACACCCTAGCATTCACAGTTTTTTTTCACAACCCTATCTATAAATGTGTTAAAGAACCATGGTGACATCACATCCCTATTTAAGACCTGCTTTTACTGAAAAATAATCCCCCTTACATTCCCTAACCTGAGCCTTGCTATCCACATAAAAACTCTTAACTACTTTTAATAACCTACCACCCATTCCATACATTTGCCACATTGTTTCCCTAGCTACTTTATCATATATCTTTTTTAAATTTATAAATGCAACAAAAAGTTCCTTGCCTTTATCTAAGAATTGTTCACTTACATGCTTCAATGTAAATTCTTGGTCTACATATCCCATGCCCTTCCTAAAACCTTGTTCCTCTGTAATCCTATTCTCCGTCCTACCCATAATTCTTTCAGTAATAACTTTACCTGGTAAAGTTAACAGGCTTATTCCTCTTTTATTCTTACATGCCCTTTTATCCCTGTTTTCCTTATGCAAAGAAACTGTGCACGCTTTCTGCCAGTCCCTAGGTACCTTGCCTCCTTAATTTTTTTTTTCGACAGTTCGGCCAAGGCTCCTCCCTATCCAATAACTCCCATTTTTTGTTTTTAACTATTAAATTCAACAAAACTGTTATTCTCTGCAAAATTTATTGTTATGACCTCTCATTCTCTCTCAATGGTTCTCCTTGAGACAGTTGGTGAGGTTTTATCCACAAATTCTACAGAGAATGAAAAAGTTTTGGAGTGAGATTTGTATTATTTATGAAATGTGTAGAGCTGCTAGAAACTGCAAAATATAATGCAAGAGAAGTTTTTTAATTAATGTACAAATTCTAATATTTAATCAGCCTTTTCGGTCGCTTCCCCGGTTACCTCAGCCTAACACCTTCCCTGATCACCACCCATACTCCACCAGTAATTTTTTTATTTTGTTCCTCAAATTGGTGAAAATTCTGGAAATTGGCATAGTCTTGACCTCAAGGGAGTCAGATTTGTGGGTTTGTGTCTGTTATGCTTTTGTTTCGCTTGTTCTTCTGTGTTTGTTTTGCACATATGTATATAATGTAGCAAATTATCATGCTTGTTACTGTATTCCTGTTTTTTAATCTAAAAAAAAGTAGTGCACTAATTTGTTTTATTTGCAAGCTAAATACTGTTATAAAAAATCTTCCAAAGCTACCATAATTTGTGTGTCTATTGGATCATCAGCTTCTGTAACTGGTTAGTAAACTAAATGTTGAGGTATTTGGTAAATGTATTGTGTTTAAAAAGTTCTGTAATGATTATAATACATTGCAGTCATTGTTACCTTGAGCTGCCTTGCTAGCATTAGGTAGATTGGAATCCTGTTCAATAATTAGCATTCATCTAGTGTTATAGATATTAGTGCTAATAGTGTTATAGTAATTAGTGCTAATAATAAAAATCTTAGAGCATGTACGGTAATGCTATAATTTATTTACACATGTAAGTAAATCACGTGTATATTTCAGTACCTGCTAATATGGTATCAATTAGGTTGTACTGTACTGTTTAATATTTTACCGCAGAAGTATCTGCATGGGTTAAAGTAAATGTGAGGACTTTTATAGTATGTTTTATTAACATAGCCATTAACTTTCAAATTCACAGATTTTGTGCTCATGTTAAGAGAGAGAATTTTCCTGTAGATGCTCCTCTTCCTACTCCATCAAACTCCACACATGCAACTTCTCGTCAAAGTGAATGGGTTAGTGGTTACACTGTTGTACCTAGTTTATAAAGGTATTGAAGTTGACCCTACAGTACTTGATATAACTCCTAGTAAGTGTGAAGTACAATATTGGGATTGATGATAAAATGTTAATGTAGTTGTAATGTTGGTAGAATTACTGACAGTATGCTAGGTAGAAGGACACATGTGCAATTAATGTGGCATTTTATTGTGGGATTGTTTTGCTCTCCAGGAGCTTTGTCAAGTCATTACAAACAGTACAGGGACACAGAGGGTATATATAGGTAGCAGTGTGCAGTGAAACAGCACAAGCACTGCATTAGGATAACTGGCCCATGCTGTTGGTAGTAATAGTAGTAGTAGTAATAATGAGGAGGGAGGTACAAGAGGCTTTGAAGCAGATCTACGTTCACATGTGTAGTGCTACAAAAGTAGATCTACGTTTTTTTACATATTTTCAAATGTAACAAAAAAAAAAAGTAGATCAAAGTTTTTTTACACATTTTCAAATGTAAAAAAACAAAAAGAAGATCTAGTTTTTTACATACTTTCAAATGTTGAAAAAAAGTATATATGTATACGTTTGGACCGTTTACAGGTTAAACGCTTGAGCATCCGGCAGGTTTGTGTGAGCATGTTAGATAAGAGTGAATAGAGAAAAGGATTTTTTAATGAGCTTGCTATTGGAGTGTGAGCAGGGTAACTTTTGTGAAAGGATACAGGGAAAGCAGTTAGTTGGTGGGAAGGGGAGTGCTCTGAACAATTCCAGTTGGGAATCAGCATATAGATTTTCTTTTCAATTGCTGTTTTCTTTTTTTATTTTCTTTTTATTATCACACTGGCCGATTCCCACCAAGGCAGGGTGGCCCAAAAAAGAAAAACTTTCACCATCATTCACTCCATCACTGTCTTGCCAGAAGGGTGCTTTACACTACAGTTTTTAAACTGCAACATTAACACCCCTCCTTCAGAGTGTAGGCACTGTACTTCCCATCTCCAGGACTCAAGTCCGGCCTGCCGGTTTCCCTGAACCCCTTCATAAATGTTACTTTGCTCACACTCCAACAGCACGTCAAGTATTAAAAACCATTTGTCTCCATTCACTCCTATCAAACACGCTCACGCATGCCTGCTGGAAGTCCAAGCCCCTCGCACACAAAACCTCCTTTACCCCCTCCCTCCAACCTTTCCTAGGCCGACCCCTACCCCACCTTCCTTCCACTACAGACTGATACACTCTTGAAGTTATTCTGTTTCGCTCCATTCTCACACAGCCGAATCCACCTCAACAATCCTTTCCTCAGCCTATGACAACAGTTTTGTAATGGGCCCGTCCACCTCCTCCTAATTTCCAAACTAACCGAATTCTCGTGCATTATTTCACACCACACATTGCTCCAGACATGACATCTCCACTGCCTCCAGCCTTCTCCTCGCTGCAACATTCATTACTCCATCTTCACAACCCATATAAGAGCGTTGGTAAAACTATACTCACATACATTCCCCTCAGGATTGCCTCCAAGGACAAAGTTCTTTGCTCCACAGACTCCTAAGTGCACCACTTACCCTTTTCCCCTCATCAATTCTATGATTCACCTCAGCTTTCATAAACCCATCCGCTGACACGTCCACCCCAAATACCTCAATACATTCACACTCCTCCAGTACCCTCTCCCTCCAATCTGATATCCAATCTTTTCATCACCTAATCTTTTTTGTTATCCTCATAACCTTACTCTTTTCCTGTATTCACTTTCAATTTCTTCTTTGCACACCGTAACCAAATTCCTCACCAATCTCTGCAACTTTCTCTTCAGAATCTCCCAAGAGCACAGGTCCATCACAAAGAGCAACTGTGACTACGAGGGGGGGGGGGGGGGGGGGGGGGGGGGGGGGGGGCCACGTTAGGATTCTTATCTTTAACTCCACCCTCTTGCCAGAGACCCTCGCATTGACTTCTCTTACAACCCCATCTGTAAATATATTAAACAACCACGGTGACATCAACATCTTGTCTAAGGCCTACTTTTACAGGGAAATAATTTCCCACTTTCCTACATACTCTAACTTGAGACCTCACTATCCTCGTAAAAACTCTTCACTGCTTCAGTAACCTACCTCCTACACCATAATAACACCTGCAACATCTGCCACATTGCCCCCCATCCACCCTGTTCATACCCCTTTCCAAATCCATAAATGCACAAAGACCTTAGCCCTTATACAAATACTGTTCACTTATATGATCACGGGAAACACCTGTCCACACACCCCCTACCTTTCCAAAAGCCTCCTTGTTCATCTGCTATCCTATTCTCCGTCTTGCTCTAATCTTTCAATAAGAACTCTACCATACACTTTGCCAAGGTATACTCAATAGACTTTTCCGCCCTATAATTTTGCACACACTTATCTTTCCAGATAAGATGCCCTTCAGCATTTACTGTATGTATGTAAGTATGTTATGTATTTAATAAGTATGTATAATTAGTATATAATTTATGTATATATTGTATTATGTATATTTTTATTATTTTGTTTTTTATTAGCACACTGGCCCGATTTCCCACCAAGGCAGGTGGCCCCGAAAAAGAAAAACTTTCACCAACATTCACCCATCACTGTCTTGCCCAGAAGGGTGCTTACACTACAGTTTTTAAAAAACTGCAACATTAACACCCCTCCTTCAGAGTGCAAGGCACTGTACTCCCATCTCCAGGACTCTAGTCCCGGCCGGCCGTTTCCCTAACCCTTCATAAATGTAAACTTTGCTCACACTCCCACTGCACGTCAAGTATTAAAAACATTTGTCTCCGTCACGTCCCTAGCAAACACGCTCACGCATGCCTGCTTGAAGTCCAAGCCCTCGCACGACAAAACCTCCTTTAACCCCCTCCCTCCAACCTTTCCTGGCCGACCCTTACCCCGCCTTCCTTACCCCTACAGACGGATACACTCTTTGAAGTCATTCTGGTTTCGCTCCATTCTCTCTACATGTCCCGAACCACCTCAGCAACCCGTCCTCAGCCCTGTGACAACAGTTTTGATAATCCCGCACATCTCCTAATCTTTCCAAACTACGAGAGATTCACTGCATTATATTTGTATGTATATATGTATGTTTTTTTTTTTTTTATTTCTCTCACAAGTCGGCACTAGCGATCCCCACGGCCGAGGCAGGGGATCCAAAAAAGAAAGAAAATTCCCTAAAAAGATAATACTTTCATGATCATATCAACACTTTCCCACACTCGCACATTATCACTGTTTTTCAGAGGTGCTCAGAATACAACAGTCTAGAAGCATACACATATAAAGATACACAACATTTCCCTCCCAAACTGGCCATATCCCAAACCCTCCTTTAAAGATGCAGGCAAGTGTACTTCCCATTTCCCAGGACCTCAATCCGACTATATGAAATGGGAAGTTACAATGCCTGCACTTTAAAGGAGGTTTGGGATATTGCAGTTTGGAGGGATATTTTGTGTATCTCTATACGTATATGCTTCTAAACTGTTTTATATTCTGAGCACCTCTGCAAAAGCAGTGATAATGTGTGATGTGGTGAAAGTGTTGAATGATGATGAAAGTATTTTTCTTTTGGGGAGTTTTCTTCTTTTTTTTTTTTGGGTCACCCGGCCCGGTGGGAGACGACCGACTTGTTGAAAAAATATATATATATATATATATATATATATATATATAATCTATATATAATATAATATATATATATATATATATATATATTTTTTTTTTTTTTGTTTTTTTTCAACAGTCGGCCGTCCCCCCCGAGGCAGGGTGACCAAAAAAAGAAAGAAAACTGTCCCCAAAAATGAAAAAATACTTTCATCACATTCAACACTTTCACCACACTTCCGCACATTATCACTGTTTTTGCAGAGGTGCTCAGAATACAACAGTCTATACGCATACACATATAAAGATACACAACATATCCCTCCCAAACTGCCAATCTCCCAAACCCACTCCTTTAAAGTGCAGGCATGTACTCCCATTTCCAGACTCAATCCGACAATATGAAAATAACCGTTTCCTTAATCCCTTCACTAAATATTACCCTGAGCACACACGCCAACAGATCGTCAGTCCCTAGTACCATTCGTCTCCATTCACCCGATCTAACACGATCAGGCAACGCTTGCTGAAGTCCAAGCCCCTTACCCACAAACCTTCCTTACCCCCTCTCTCCAACCCTTTCGAGGCTACCCCTACCCCGCTTCTTCCCCTATAGAATTATATCTTCCATATATATATTTATAGATATATATATATTCAAGGTAGTAGGTTGGTAGACAGCAACCGCCAGGAGTACACCGTCCTGCCAAGTGAGTGTAAAACGAAAGCCTGTATTTGTTTTACAATGAAGGTAGATTGCTGGTGTCCTTTTGTCTGTCTCATGATCATGCAAGATTCAGGTACGTCATGCTACTTCTACTTACACTGAGGGCACACTACACCAGACCTGTAACAAGCACATATATACACACCCCTCTGGTTTTCTTTCTATTTTCTTCAGTTCTTATTCCCTTGTTATTTACCTCTTATCTCCATGGGAAGTGGAACAGAATCTTCCTCCGTAAGCCATGCGTGTTGTAAGAGGCAACTAAAATGCCGGAGCAAGGGGCTAGTAACCTCTAGCGAGTCCTGTATATATTACTAAATGGGTAAAAGGAGAAACTTTCGTTTTTCCTTTTGGGCCACCCCGCCTCGGTGGGATAACGCCGGTGTGGTTGAACTGCGCGACGCGCGGTGGAGAGCAGAGCGAGCGACGTAGTATAAATATATATATATATATATAATAATATATAATATATATATATAAATATATAATATTGTTTTTTTTTGAGGTTTTTTATTATCACCCCGCGCGTGCGGTTCGCCCGCGCGTGTGCAGGGGGGGTCGCGGACCGGTGGGCCAGCACCTCAGGACGAGGGGCGGGGGGAGGGTCGCGCCAGTGGCAAAGGGGCGCGGGCAGAGGGGGAGGGCG